ATCTAAAAACAAGGAAAAAATCAATCAGGTTCTTCAAAAGAAGACTTTTAATTAAAGAAAAAAGGTAAAAATCATGTCTGTAAAATCAGTATGGAAAATAACTTTACAGGGTAATCAAACTTAAAGGGCTCAGAGGACCCCCCTCTAGCCTCAGGTTCAAAGTACAGCAAACAGAGATAAACACTCTAGTAAAAGGTACATTTACAAGTTGGGAAAACAAAGTAAAACTAACACACCTTGCCTGGCTGTTTACTTACAAGTTTGAAATATGAGAGACTTGTTTAGAAAGATGTGGAGAACCTGGATTGATGTCTGGTCCCTCTCAGTCCCAAGAGCGAATGACTTCCCAAACAAAGAGCACAAACAAAAGCCTTCCCCCCCCCCTTAGATTTGGGCTAAGGGGAGAGTTAATGGTTCAAATTTGGAATCATTCAATCTAGGGGTCCTTAAGCTAAAGTCTCCCCACCCCTCTCACAAATTACCTTCTTTAAAAATGTAAATTTTTTCTAACATTTTTTGCACTGCGCCAGGGAAGGCCCAGTCCTGCTCCTGCCGAGGTCAATCCCCGAAACATGAGCTGTTTGTCTCACTCAAACTTATACTCTGTGTGTTTGGGAGGTCTATCAATCAGTGTGAGTAAATAAACGTCTGAGTCAAGTTTGTCCACGAGTACCTGATAAATTAGTTGTGTGTCAGGCATAACTAGCGTAGCAGCATCTGTCTGGGTACATGGGACTCCTGTTAGAGTTTTTGAAAATGCCAGGAGATCAGCCATAAACATAGCCTTCTCCCCATCCTAAGCCTTTGTTCTCCACTCCTCATTGGGCATTCAGAGACCTTTTACCTTTTGGAAAAAGCTGGGAGTGCCCCGAGAGGAAAAAAACAAGCCCTCTTCTAGCTGCCTAAATGGACATTTTCCATGAAAAATCTTCTGACAGTGTTGACTGTATTGGATAAGAACCTGGGACCATGAAAAAATGTCCCTGAGGACTCCTGTAGCCCTGAAGAAGGTAAGAGTTCTTGTGCATTAGCACAACTATCACAAGAAATACAAACACTGAAGGGAAGCATTATTTCTTGATTCATGATCTTTACTGGACTCCAGCAAAACTGACACAAATCTACACTCGGGATAAATAAAATGTTGGAGACAGACACAGGAAATCCCGATTTAATAGCTGAGGGATTGTGAAAAACTACAAACCCCCTTGTAAATATACAAATAGTGACTGAGCTATTGGAACAGAATGGAAATTTCTGACTGGTTCTTGAGTCTCCCCCCCTGCCCTGACAGACTGAACAGGGGCAGTTACCAGATCTCTCCATCAAGTTTCCACATCTCTCCCTCTCCTGGGCCCTGACCCCCTTCCTCCATCTTGCTCACTCCCCCCCACAATCCAACTTCCCCCACCAAGGTCAGACCAAAAGCAGAGCAAATCTAGCTCCTACTCCTGTCTCTCTCACTCTCATGCAGGAGGGTTGGCCCTGACAATCTACCTAACTGAAATATGCTGTTGGGAGTCCCAGGGGATGGCAGGGATTCTCTCAAAAAGAGGCAAGTGTCCATCTGTCCCTAAGCTGTTGCCCCAGCTGGGGGCAGGCCAGCCAAACCAGACCCACAATGGTGCAGTATCTCCCGCTCACAAGCTCTGCTATCTCTCTATGACCAGATCAGGTTTTATCTTTTTCACAGCATCCAGCTCTGCCTGTGTTTCTTTGGTTACATGCCACTTGGACAAGCTGTGGGGAAAACAAGGAAAGAAAAGGCAGTGTTAATTCTCTCAGAAACTGGTTGAAAGAGAGGAAACAAAGGGTAGGAATAAATGGTCAGTTTTCACAATGGAGAGGTGAACAGCAGGGTCCCCCAAGAATCGGTATTGGGGCCTGTGCTGTTCACCATATTTATTATGGATCTGGAAAAGGGGACAAACAGTGCAGTGGCAAATTTTCCAGACAATACAAAATTATTCAAGATCATTAAGTCCAAAGCAGACTGTGAGGAGTTACAGAGGGATCCCACTAAACTGGGTGACTGGGCAACATGAAATTCAGTGTTGATAACTGCAAAGTAATGCACATTGGAAAAAAAATACAAGCTATACACCTACAACGATGGGTTCTAAATTAGCTGTTACTACTCAAGAAACATCTTGGAGTTACTGTAGCTAATTCTCTGAAAACTGCTGCTCAATGCATAGCAGCCATCACAAAGGCTAACCAGTATTAGGAAAGGGAATAGATAATAAGACAGAACCCTTGGGAGAATAACATGAAGGGCAAAGGGGTCCAGGAGAGCTGGCTGTATTTTAAAGAATCCTTATTGAGGTT